ATATTGAATACAAGTCTAAAGAGGTTATAATTTTGTTGTATAGGTCACTGGTTAGGCCATATCATGATTATTGTGTTCAGTATTAAGCTCTTTACCTTAGGAAGGACACTGAATTGTTGGAAAGGATTCAGAAAAGGGTTACTGGAATGGATGGGTTGTCGTATGTGAAGTTAAATTTAGTTTGTTTTGAATTTCACACAAAGCTACATGAGAGCTATCTGCACTAGCCATCCCTAATTTAGCTTTTAAAGACTAGAGGGGAATGCAGCTAGTCATCACCACCCATTGCCAACTCTTGGAATTGACCATCACATTATAATGCCCCCATGGCTGTAAGGGTGAGCATGTTTGGTGAGACAGCAATTAGAATTTGCAACCCTTAGATTGTGAGTCAAGTGCCCTAACCACCTGGCCATCATTCAAGGAAAGGCTGAAATCTCTCAAATCGATTTCTCTTGAAAAAAGAAGAGTTAGGGGGGGGGATCTGATTGAGGTGTTTAGGATTGTAGAGAGAATTGATAGTGTTGATGCATCATTTTTTTTCATATTTAATAGTGAGAATACAAATTTTGTCAAGGTATGAGCCACCTTCAGCTAATATAGTTTCATTTTTTTAACAGGGTGGTTGGCCTTTGGAATGGGTTGCCTTCAGAAGTTTTAGAGGCAGTAACTTTAAGTGATAATGGCTGGAGACGGCTTAAATGGGTAATGAAGAAAAACTTTAATGTAACTTTAACATGACAGCAAATGTACAAAACCTTGTCGAAACGTTGTACATTTGCTGTCATGTTAAAGTTATATTAAAGTTTTTCTTCATTACCCATTTAAGCCGTCTCCAGGCATTATTAGTCTCAAAGTGGGTTCCTCGTCATCGAATTTAACTTTAAGTGAGTTTAAGAACAAAACTTGATAAGTATATGAATGATAAGGACTGACTTTAAGATATTTTTTTTCTAATTATTCTAATTTAATTTAGAAGATGGAACAGCCAAGATGTACCAATAGGTTCCATGTTGTCCCAAAACATTATGTTATGTTATATTAAAACAATTTTGGAACCTCATCATATTACAGTTCATGTTACCACATCTGTTCATCCTCTATTTGATGACTATACGTCTTGACAATAGCCCTACATCATAGTTTCTATTGCAAAAGGCTTCATCTTATGGATGTCTTATTCAAAGCACAATACTTTTCTCTTATTGTTTTCTATAATCAATCCAAGGTATGAGGATGATGGTACCAGTTCCAGTAATCTGATCACACAAAAATCCTTAGGTGTTGTATTCAGTGACTTGACCTTTATGTCTTTCTATAGAATAGCATGAATACCTGTTTGAGGTATGCAACAGTTGAACAGATATGTCATGGCAGCATCTTGTGTGTCACTTTTCCAGATGGAGATATTTCTTAATTATGTTGTGTGCTGTTGCTTTCACCACTGACCTTTTTGTTGTTGATTCTTACCAGTTATAAAACATCACACTTTACTTGCAATGGCTCAGGTAAGACTTGTTACAAGTCTCATTTTGGATGGTCCTGGTCATCGAAGTTGATCTATTTTCATTTTCCAATTCAATTAAGTAAAATGGATATTCCCATCTTGGAAATTTTAAATACCTGACCTGGATATCATGTACCGTGATGTTGGTTCATAATAGGGATCACACATGAATTTACTCAAAGCCCTTAATACAACAGTCAAGAAAAAACCACCTTAAAAAGCAGACATTCTTGAAACAACACTCAAAACCTTTCTTTTCAATGGTTAAGACCACCCAAACAGTGATAATAAGCAAATAAGTAATTTCATGATTGTAGACAAAATCAAATTTGCCCATTTGTTCATATTATTATTGTTTCACAAGCCTATAGCAAAATTGGTTGAGTATCTTCCACCAAAACATAGACAGATATACTATATGAAGCACTGTGAATATCCATGACCTATTTAAAAGTTGATTTATGTGGTTATAAATGTTGTTCTGAGCAGCTGCTTTTGTACTCAATGCATGTCAAACATGTTTACACAAACCCCAGAAAGAAAGCCATCTGGCTCAGTAAATAATTACTTTAAAAGACATGAAGGTATATTTAAGGCAATGTTTTAGATGTATTTGTTTTACTTAAAAAGGCTGCTTTTCTACTGGTCAAATTTTATACAAGCTTAGTGGAGGTTATATCTTATTCTAAGCATATATTTGCCAATTGCTGTGCATTAAAAAAGCCAGCATACAAAATAATTAAAAACTAAGAAGTTAAAATCCAGAAATAGGAACCGCAAAAAAAAGCAAACAAACAAGGCTAGAGATCTACTGCAGACAGTTTGCTCAAACTACATATTCCTATTATGACTCCACTATAAAATTATTGCAAGTGATACCTACTGTAGTGTGGGATCACACAGGAATTTTGCAAAAAACTGAGTGAGTAGTTTTAAACTTAATTTAACCTCTTTAATTTTGTCGTACTATGAAATTTTCTAAGTCCTTCACTTTTTTGGCATAAAAAAAATTCTAGTGTTTTCCTAGCAAGTGTGTTAGTTGGAAACTACAACTTGTGCATTTTCTAGCACATTAATTAGAAACTGCCACATTTTGCTGTTGTACCTCATTACTTGAATCACTATTGTTCATCATTACTCAAGTTTGCTGTCTCTACATGGATTTTCTTGACTATATTTCAGCAAGTAAACAGTGGAAGATTACCACAGATTTTCCTACTTAAACAATGGAGAGGATTCTTTTTAGTGTTTCTTATAATTAGCTGAAATTGTGAGTGCTTATTCAGTATTTATTACCACTGCATATAGCACTATTTTATATAGCCATTGTTATTTGTAAATAGTTGATGTTAAGGTACTGGTTGTAAATGTTGTTGATAATTGGCAACTTACACTAACTGTGTCCCTGTTGTCTATTTTGCATGCATTGTTTGTGTTGCCTTATTCTAGCAAATACATGTGCACAGCAGGCTGTTGAAGAATATAACTATGTGTCATGTAGACCTCACAAGGTAAGATGTTACAGAATCTGTTTACATTGCATTAATTTGTGTTGTATTATCTTAGAAGAAACATTATTCTGTTCTGACGAGATTGCTTTGTTGCTGCTCATTTTTTGTTACATTACGCTATGACACAGATGGAAGCCAGTAATTAAATCTGTGATGATACAATCTTTGTCTTCAAGATGGTCCTTTGAGAACAACTTTACATTTTTTGTTTGTTGTAGTTGCATACCAGTACATTTGTTTATTCTTCGTTGTACATTTGTTATTTAGTTTGAATAAGTTCAATCTGGTGGTTGGGTGGAAAAAAGCCAAGGCAGCAGTAAACTGTTGAAAAACATACAACATTCAACTGAACGCATATGCACGTATGTAGCTAAAAGTTATTCTCCATAAATGGAAATACAAAAACTTAATAAAAACTGTTAATTTAAAAGGGGGAATTGATAAGCACTGTAGATACAGAGCCATACATACTATTCTACTGCTACTTTATATCTTCTGTGATTGTCTCATGAACTGCTGAATTGTATATTAAAACTCATTTCAATATAACATACTCAAACTTCTGTGTAACAATTCTGAGATTTTACAAGGAAACTGAATATGCAAATACATGTTTAGGGTGACAAATCCTAACATGAAGTTGTTGAAACACTATAAAAGATAATCCAAATACAGACTGAAGAACTTGCCAATATTATTTAAAAACACTTGAACTAACAAGTAAACTATAAAAACAATATTCATTTAAAAACCAGATGCTGAATATTATACCAAAATGTAATATAACTAACATAGTTCTTTCAATACCTTTTCTATAAAGAAAACACTAATAGAGCAGGAGAAACTTTACAGTTAGTAGTTTTTCATCTAGTAAGCTAAATATACAACAATATAATATATATTACTAATGACATAATAACAAGAATAGGTCTCATCATTCCAATTTTGTTTTTTGTAGAGTTAAGGCAAATTCATTGCAACAGGAAGAAAACATACTATAGGTTTTAAAGAAGTGGACATTTTATATAACTTAAACCTAAAAAATGGCTTCAGATCTTTTTGTTTAGAGAGTTCTGTAAAACATATATGCAATAAATATTAATGTAATGACTGGTTGAAGATCACAGATTAAAGAAACAACAGGAGCTCACAGAAAATGTTTCAAAAAGTTTATCATAAGCTCCAAAGTGTATCCACAATATTTCAGATTCTCTTTCCTCATGACAACGATCTTGAGACTACAGGTTTCTTTCCCACACGATCTTAGCTTTAGGAATACAAACCTTACATGTAAAATCAGTTTTAAATTTACATGACCAAAATGTTCTTATATCCTCAACACTTTTTATATTGGACCGACCCTATACCTGTGAAGCTCATATGTAATAATGTTTATTATAATTCTGAATTTACTAAATCTAGCAAGCTTTTAGTAAAGATTAAAAGTCTCATTTATTTGAAAAAAAAATCAGATTTTAATTAAAGTACTTCTACTAAATATTTCTCTAGAAATTCTAAAGCCTTTACTGAATCAGTCTGAGCAAAAGGCAGTTTCATATTTAATTTGCATAACTTCTAGAACCTCCTAAGTTACTATTGAATGTTTTTTACCAGTAAAACTTTATATTTTATCTACTTTAACACTTACTCTAAAGAAATCACCAACTTAAAGTGAAATGAAAAGTTGAAAAATATGAAAATACAATGAATAATGCCACTTTTTCTTTCAGAGTGACTGAAGTATTAATCATAAATAAAATTCCAAGTTACAGTTTCAACCATATTTTCATTATTTATTTTAATTGCTGTCCTTTGTAGTTACAGCCATCGTAGTCGTGAAAAGCAACAAATCACAGTGGGAGCTCATTAACTGTTTCTCTTAAAGCTAAAGTATCATATAACTGCATGGTGTCCTACAGACACTGGAGTTAGTGTCATTTTAGAAGTTCATAATTTTTACATTTTAATTATATATATATATATATATATGTATAATAAGAATTAAAAACTACACAAGAAAAAATTATGCAGTACTCAGTGATGCTCAAGGCAGTTTGTACACGAGTAACAATCTACCATAACTTTCACTGAATCTCATAAGTCTGTTTGTTTAAAGAATTAATGTAACTTTCATATATGCAATTTAGAAAATAATCTCTCCCTTTCTCTCTCACAGCTTACAAACTATTTGAATACATCAATTGTTAATAGGCTATTAAATCAGCATTATAAAACAATAATGAAATAATATTGCTATACTGTTATTGGTCCTGGTTGTCAACTTATTGTCACCAGAACAAAATGTACCAAAACTGCCATAATTTATCCAGTTTATAAGTAAGTTACGAATAAGTTAACAAAATTCTATTAGACATTCATAGTAGGATTAAAAACTTTGCACACCAAGAATCTATGGCAGACCGTTATTCAATGAGTGCCACAATCTAATGGCTGTAATAAGCCTTATGTACAAAAGAATAATCCCTTATTGGTTATAAACGAGTCCATCAGCCACATAAAGTTGATTAGTAAACAATCTAGAAATTCAAAGAGAGAGGAAAAAGTTGGGGTTTCTCTGGTAGATTTGACAAATTTATTTGACATCTCAGCAAACTAAGACAGGAGGTTCAATTTTTATATTATTACTTGTAGTTATGTTTAGTTGATGTTTCTAATTTGTAAGTTATAAAATTTTTATGTTGAGATTCGGAGCTCAGATATGTTACATGGCAGAGAAAAAATGAAGACTGATAACTTTTTAATGCTTCTTTTTGAAATTAAGAAGGTAAACCTCAAATAATATACAAAATTGAATTATAAGCTTCCTTTCCAGGCCAAGTTTACTGACATGCATTAATAATAAAGTAGGTTAATTAAATTTTGAATGTAACACTATAAAAGATCATGATATGCACACTTTGAACCAGTCACCATGATAGAATTAATAGAAGCTGCTTTACTCCCAGAATCAAATGCTTTACTTTAATAATAACGAAATGTATATTGTAATCCCGTATCAAAACCCAATCATATAATACACGAGTAGCATAACTTATTTACCAGACTTAGTCAAAATACATATACTTGTTCATAATAACTTATTTACAAAAAAAAAAAAAGATAAGATATATAGCACACAGTTTCTTGAAAATATATACTGTGTAGTTGAGGTAACTAACTGTATGGTTTTAAGTGCATTTTCCCGGAGAATCTCAATAGATAAATCATAGTATCTATCCACTACATTCAAAACTATAGTACTTACAACAGGAGGAGAAACTGAAATATGAGGATCAACATTTAGATTGTTCATTGAATCACTTATCCTATCTTCTTCACATATTCTGGAACTAAAATTAGCAGCTTGAACAAACTCGTCATCAATTTCTTTTTGGAAATCAACTTCATCACTCTGTTCTAGAACTCTACGACCAGCAAAATCTAAAGTAATTTTCTGATTCAGTCGTGAAACATGTCGCCTTGCATGAAGTTCTTTCTGTTTTTGTGACATCTTGGCTCGTTCCTCTTTTGTAAGCCATTTATTGGATTCCACAGCAAAGTAATCACTTTCATCATCAATGACTCTTGTTCGCTTTTCACTGTAGATATTTAAATCACATGAATACATTCACCTACTTTAACTTAACATAGAGCAAGTTACAAGTAAGTTTCCACAATATTCACTGGCAATAAAAAGATTTAAACAAAACACAAGAATTTCTTCAAAAGTTATAATTTTCTTACTCTGAAAAAGTATTTCTAATAGGTAGTTACCTCCTTACATAAATAGCTACTTTTGTTCAGTGCTGCCCTCTATATGCAAATATTTTTTTACGCATGCCACAAGCCTTCTGTCTCCCCTCCATTGGAATTGACTGATTCCAATGCATCTCATGCAAATCATCTTGCATCAACCCTCCACCAATAAGAGTAAGCATACTCCCATGATTCAGGTGACTCCTTCTATTTAATTCTACTGAACTGTAACTTCAAGGTTTGATAGAAAATGGAAGCACCAATTTTCTGTGGGAAGGAAGGGTGGGAAGTGTGAACGGAGGTAAGTACCTATCAGAAATACATTTTCAGTGAAGGAAAATTATAACTTCCAATGTGGTACATTACATCTTCCTACATAACTGGTGAGAGGGAAAGAAAGAAGCATCCTTTGAAAGCATCCAAAGGACACTCCCTAAAATGAGACAGTCAGATATTGAAGATCTGATGTTGGAAACTGCATCACTTCTGAATCAGGTATATTCTTTGTCCATCATAGAAAGATGTCGCATATATGGGTGGAAAACAGAGGAGCACATCTAATTGGGAGTAAACTATGGCTGGAAAGTTATCCAAACCATGCAATATTTATGAAACTCAATCCCAGAAATTATAAAAGTAGATAAAATGAAAAAGATGTGCCCCTAGGTGTAGAGTGGCTAGGACACAATGGACCATACATGGCAAGTCAACTATATCCAAAATCCATTCTGCTGAGAACTGACATCCTTGTGGAGGGAGGATGAGAATCACACTGTTGGTAAATCAACTACAATCCAAAACCTGGCTGCCAGGTACCGATATCCATGTCTAGGTAGGAAAGAGGGTCATACTACAGGCAAGGAGACTACAATACAAAACCCAGGCCACAGTGAACTGAAATCCATGTGGGGGTAGGAAAGAGGATCATACCGTCTTCTCCTCAAGTTCATGAGATTGCAAGGAATCTAGTACCCTCTGACTCATGAACAGGGCACATGTGAATGTAATAAATCTGGGAACTCAATATCCACTATTGCAAAAAGATGTCTATATAATGTAAACCATTTCCCTCAAAAATGAAGTTGACTAGTACCACCCTAAACACTTTAACATCCTCGGAATAAGAAACATCGAGGGATATTGAAAGGGAAAGAACCGTAGCATTCTGCAGTTACCTTCATCGTGACCCACAACACAGATGGAATATAAATGAGGGAGGAATATAGACATCTGTAATACAAGTGTTAGGACTTACATTGATGGGTGCTACTCTTAAGGTGGGGGGTAGGATGAAGGGGTTAAATTCAATTTTGACATTTCACTCCCATTGTTTTATGTTTCATATTGGAGGATATCACATCATTTACACCAGCAGAACACCACAATCCTACTCTCAACTGAATGGTATTTTGTTTGTATTTCATTAACCCATTCAGGACAATGCCTATGCAGTCCACCATCCCAGCAGCTTGGAACTGGAAAGTGGGAAGGACTCTCAAACTCCACTAGAAGAAAAGGGGGTAACATGCAGTTTGGAGGAACCACAACATCTGAGATAGCACAATGGGTGACCATAAAACCCTATTTTTAAAAGCATACTATACTGATTCATTCCATAAAAGATATGGCAGGGATGGGCAGCTATCCCCTTCTGCTTTACTCATGTAGTCCATGGGTGAGTACGATCCCAGACTAACAAATTTATGAAGCAGTTCTATCGCAAGGATAAACCTAAAACGATCTTGTAGTACACCTGATCTCTGCAGTGTGTGTTGCATGGCCATGGAATTATAATATGCAAGTTGACATGGCTTGACAGTGCAAATTTGAAAAGTTAGAGAATTCCTGGTCAGGTACCACTTGGCCCAGAGGGGGATCCAAACAATGAACATTAATAAAAGGGAAGGAGGCCCTTGAAAAGGAAAAAAAAATTACTCAGACAAAGTCTCACTGAATCCTTATATTCTAGAATGGCTACAGGCAGAAGATGATAACCCGAAGAGGAAGAAAACCACGATCCGATGCAAATAGTGCAAGACGAATGTATCATGAGTAGTCCACATGCCCTATAGAAGAAGTACCACCAAAGGACGACAAAGAAAAAATGCCAATGATAAGATAAGGTGTCGAATTGGATGAGGAGACACTTGGAACAAAGTACAGGAAGAAGATGAGAAAGAGGAAGAAGGTAATCTAATAAAAAGCCAAATCCAATTGGCAAAAGAGAAAGAACATGAACAGAGGACGATTGCCAAGAAAGAAAGAGGCAGGAACAGACACCACAGAAGGAAGCTGTGCAGGTAATATATCAGAGAAGAGCATGTACAGGACAGAGAAGTCTATCTGGATCAGAACGAGAATAAAGGAGTGAAACAGAAGAAAGGGAAAGCAGCTAAATGGAGAAGTTATCCTCATGAGCTGCTGAAGTGTTAGGGAAGAAAAGTGATCTGGAGAAAGGAGAAGAGATGTAAAAGGATAAAGAGTATGTATGTGAAACATCATTGGCAAATAAAGAGACAACCAAAATCCACAGGTAAATGGGACAAGGAGGAAAGACATAAGGGAAGGTGAAACAAGGAGCACTGAGAAAGTGGTTTGAATGTAGGCAAAGTGAGGCAGTGCAGGACCACATTAATAACCCAATCTGAAAGGGCAGTGGATGAAAAATCCGGAAGGAATACATTCACAGGTAAGGTGTAGAAGTAAATAACTGCGGGATCAGGAAAAATGAAAGGTATGGGACAAGACCACCCAAAATTTGAGGAGACAGAAGACCCCGGATCCAAAAGTAAAGAGAGAAAATCTGCTTGACAAAGAACAGTGGGTTGATCAGGAGAAAACCTTGGACCCAGAAACCAATTTGCACTGAGAAACTTCCAGGGTGAATGAAACAAGCCAGAAAAGAGGCTAACTGTCAGGAGATGCAGGATCACCTTGCCAATGACCAGAGGAGAACCAGGCATGAAGACAGACGACAGGAAGGTCCAGATGAAACATCGGTGACTAAGGGTGGGAGACAGAGGAAGAGATAACAGAGGAGGAAGTTAGAACTGGAGAAGTCACAGAAACCACAGCTAAGACAGCCAAGAAAGAGCTATCAGAAGGAGTGTCAAGGATGAAAGAAATCACCTGGAGAAGAAAAAGAATGGTAGGATAGACAAATGTGTAGGCCCAATCCTGGCTGAGAACATCGATAGCCAGAGCAAAATGACAAAGAACTGGAGACCAAAACCAAGGCAATTTGTGGTTAAGGGACATAGCAAAAACCTCAATGTGTGGAGTAACCCATGGAAGTCAAAGCCAATGGAAAACAAAAGGATCGAAAGACCACTCCATCAGATAAATGTTGTCTGGACAGGAATCTAATCCATGACAAGAGTGAAAGCACCCAAAATGTGTCATGCAATGATAGGAATATCGAGCATATGGGCCCAAAATGAAGATCCAACGTAGGAATACAGAAGGATCAAGAGCAGGTGCCAACTGGTGATTGAGATAAGCATCCACTGAAGGAATCAGAAGGGATCATTACCAGATGATTTCTGGCCATATGGAGAAAATGAACCAAAACATGACCTACAGCGAGAAGTTCCAGGACGTTGATATGATAATACCTCTCAAGCCGCAGACAAAAAACCCAAATCTTCCTGTTGTTCAACCCATGCCCCCAAATCCCATAAGGGATGCATCCATGAAATGTGGAAAACCGGATGAAGAGGAAACGGGACAGCTGCCAACATGTGAGTCATATCTAACCACCAATGCTGATAGATGACAAGGGTAGGAGAGCTAACAAAGGATCCCTGCAAAATTCCACTGGTTGTGAAAAGCCCATGAAAGAGCCTGCATATGAGCCAGACCTAAGAGGATAAGGGCTACCAAGGAAGATCATATCACCAAAGACGATAGAACTTCATGAGCTCTAATCAAACTGAAAACCTATCGAATGAAGTTGAAGAAGAAAAGGGCGGGCCTGACTGAGATGTGTGTAGAAAACAAAAACACCCAAATGTACAGGAAATTGGATAGGCTGCAGTAAGGATTTGATTAACAACCCATTATAATTACCTCCAGGAGCAGTTGATAAGGGTAACAGGTGAACTCCTGTTCAGAATGAGCAAACAGTAGTCAATCGACCAAAGAAAGAGGAAAGAGCAACCCGAGAACATAGAAATGACAAACAAATGCTCTAAATGGCTGAAGCAAGTCTTAAGAGCAGTACCCAAAATAGAGAAACTACCCCAAATAAGCATTTGCAACATTCTTCTTTGTCGTTGATAAACCTGGAGAAAAAGCCCACCTGAGGGTGAGAAACAACTCCAAGGTAAAAGGGGGAAGGTAGAAAATTAGAATGAGGCAAGATAAACCTAGTACAGGCTGCTAGTCTCTGCCAGCCTGGAATAATAGCCTGGAGAAAGAAGGCTTGTGGCATGCTTTTTTTTTTGCATATAGAGGGCAGCACTGAACAATAATAGCTATTTAAGTGAGTGTAGGTAATGTACCATATCAGAATGAGTAATTTGTTCATCATGAGGACCAAGCATTCATTTATGTAAAACATTCTAAAAAACATGTACTAAACATGAAACATAAAAGTAAGAAGTTATATAAGTTGATATATATATATATTATTAACACTACAAGGTGTTAACTACTTTCAGCTGCTTTATGGAAAATACATATGTTACATCTTTATTTTTAAATTTTAAAATATAATAAAAAACAAAGGTTAAATTGAAACAGTGAATAGAGGTTGATCATCTACCACTAAACAAATATTCTGATCTAATTTTTTTCACTTTATGCTTAAGGTGATACACACCAATATTTATACTCACTGAATAAAAGTCTAATAACTGTGGGTCAAAAAATAAAGGCAAGGTTCATTCTTACTTTCACATTCCTCAGCACTATCCAAAAAGTACTTACAAGAGAACAACACCGAGAAACCACAACAAACAGATTCTCAGAGCATCCAGGGTATGCACTCCTGTGGGTTCCAAAGATAAGAAGGATGATAAACATTTTGCTAGGACCATGTAAAAGATGATTAGGTCTTCGGAGGTTAGAAAGAAATAATGAAAGCCCAAGAACGGGTCCCACTTGCAAAAACAGGATGATAGGGGATGAAACCTACATTCCTGGTCCTACTATCGGAAATTTAAAAAAAAAACAAGTACTATTTGAAAATAAATGTAGTTTTACAAATTTTCAACTCTTCCGAACCAAGAGGTCTAAAAACCAGAACCAGATGAATTAAGAGCACAATCTCGCTATTCCATAATGGAATATCTGTGTCAAAATAATAGGAAAGAGGGTGCCAGCTTTGACTGATTACACTGTAATCACAGGAAAACCCCACAGTTTGAAGTATATCAAGAGCTGAAAGAGATCCATTAGCAACAAGGGCAGTTCTACTCCAACACGATCTGAAAGTTAATCTTCACTATTGAATTTGATAAACTAAGGAGAAACTAGTAAAGAATATTTTGGCTCAAAATAGACAAAGTGAAAGATACCAAGAGAGTATCCAAAACAACAGAATAAACCACTAACATACACTCTGCATTCACAGAAGATGTCATACAGAATTTCATCTGATCTACCTGACTAGATTTATATAGTCATGGGGCAGGTAAAGCAAGTCAGTCCATAACCCTTTCCCTACAGGAAAGTCAAGCTGCACATGTCACAACCTTCTAGAAAGTTACATTCAAGATTTAATGATACTACTTTATTTCTAATGTAAATGAATAAACTTAGCATCAAAACATAAGTAATAAAAAAAAATAATATTATACAAGTTTTAATTTATTAATTTTAAAAGGAATTATTTAAATAAATCCTCAATCTCCCTCACATGAAAATTGTGACATTTGTTTTCTAGGTCTTGCCCATTTTCCAATATATTTATCACCCCTCTCCAAGTTTAATATAAAGTACACAATATACTATAGATATTACTAAGGTAAAGTTTTATAGCCTTCAATCTTCTTTGTTCAGAGAGATATAAGTTACAAAGTCAGACCCAATTGCCATGCCCACCTGTCACAGTTTCTTTCTGATGTTTTATATCATTTATAACCAATAGAAAGATTAAATCAATATCTATCAAATAACAAATAATGTTATGTTTCTTTCAGTACAAATTATTGCCAATTTTGTATGTTTGTCCTGTGGTGTTTGAATCAAGTAGGTATAGGAATTATTCTAAGGCTCTTATGCCTTAGTTAGAAAGCCAGTTAAACTATAATAGTTATATGACATTGTTTGTGTTGTGCAGATTATTATGTGCTCTTAGGTGCATTCTTTAAAATTATTTAACCCTTTTCCAGGCAGTTCACAGGTGAAAGGCCATGTCATTGCATTTGTTGACTCGAATTCAAAATTTTAGTGTTATACCTTACTCAATTTCTTAACTTAAAAGTAAATATTAAAAAAACACAGTTAAACATAAAATTTTGTGTCATGTGGTATGTTGAATGCAGCACTGGTTCAAATT